TTTCAAATATCATCACTGTTCTGATAAGCTTGGAATAAGTCATCTTTGCTTTGCAGATGACTTATTCCTCTTCTGCCATGAGGACCCTTACTCGGTTCAAGTGCTACGTGATGCTCTTACAGAGTTCTCTGAATTTTTTGGCCTAGTTCCTAACATTGCCAAATGCTCCACATTCTTTTTGTAATGTAAAAGATGAGCACCGGGCTGTTATCAACAATATTATGGGCTTTGCTGAAGGAAAGTTTCCTGTTAGATATCTTAGAGTTTCCCTTATTACCACCAAATTATTTCATAGAGATTATTTGCCCTTGATTGATAAGTTGGAGCAACGGTTGAAGTCTTGGAAAAATCGGAGTTTATCTTATGTTGGTAGGTTATAGTTAATTATATTGATTCTTTCCTCTATTCATATTTACTGGGCGTTTGTGTTCATTCTTCCCAGCTCTGTTGTTCAAACAATTAAAAAACATTTGCCCTCTTTTCTTTGGTCGGGTACTAATATGTGTAAAGGGAAGGTAAGGGTTGCTTGGAAAGATGTCTGTAGTCCTAAAAATAAGGGTGGACTGGGGATTCGATCTCTTAAAAGTAAGAACATTGCTTTGATGATGTACCACCTTTAGAGTATTTTGTATGTAAGGGACTGTTTGTGGGTCAAATGGATCCATACCTACAGGCTGAGGGGGAGGAGTTTTTGGAATATTCGTATTGGTTGGGATGCTAGTTGGTGTTGGCGTAAATTATTGAAAATGAGAGATTAGGTCAAAAATCATATTCGGACAGATCTTGGAAATGGTTAGGATACTTCTTTGTGGTTTGATAATTGGCATTCGTAGGGAACCCTTGACAAGATTATTCCTTCACGGATCTTCTATGTTTCAGGTTTAGGGCATAATGCCCGAGTTAGTGATATCATCAGAAATGACCATGGGAGTGGCCTGAGGTTCTTGGGGAGGATTGCCCGTGTGTAACCACTTACACTCCTCTTATTTCCATGGCTGGCACTAAGGACACCTTATATTGGTAGGATAAGACTGGAAAAAGGGTTCATTTTTCCACAAGATAGGTTTGGAAAGACCTTTACATGGACAATGGAGTTGGTCCTTGGTCTTCTTTAATTTGGAATGGCACTTGCATACTCGGCCACTCGTTTATTACTTGGCTTGCCATTAATCAAAAGCTTTTAACACAAGACATAATGCAAAGATGGGTGAACCCAGGAGATCTTTGTTGTAGGCTCTGTAATAGCACCATGGACTTGCATGATCACCTATTTTTTTACTAACCTTACTCTGAGAGAGTGTGGAAGGCTTTTTCAAAATAAGGGGCATTTTCAACTACCATCGGGTGGATGGAATGACACTGTAAACTGGTGTACAACTAAATTTAAAGGTAAACATATCCGAAGAGTTATTTGCAAATTGTTATTTGGTGTTGTGGTGTACTTTTTATGATAGGAACGAAATTTTTGATTGTTCAAGAACATGCGGAAAAGTATAGATATTTTGGAAGTTCTAGTGTTTGGGGAGGTCAGGCTTCGGCTCCACTCTTTGAAGTTCAAAGATAATAGCAAAGTTCGTAAAGTAATTGAAGAATGGAACCTCCCCAGGGATTGTATAAAGACTAACACATTTTAACTCTTTTACCATGTTGTTATCTATGATGTGCAGCTTCTGTGTCCTTTTCAGGTATTATAGAGGGAACAATTGCGGTTATGAAGGTGTGGAATGGATATGGTGTTGATGGGATAAGGAAAGGAGACCTGTTATTTGGGCAGTGAAACTGGTTTTTTTTTGCTCTTCTACCTTGTTTCTTGATGCAGGTTTAAGGACTATCTCAATCCTGTCTACACCCTCTTTTTACTGGTGGTGTCCTTGTTGGCTAATGTGTTTGGGAGTTTGTTTTATGGTTTGGATGAAGGCAAGATTTTTATCTTTATTCGGTAGGATACCTAGTTTAATTACTGTTTACCCCTGTATCTCCTGCTCCTTCCTGTTAATGCTGCAGTTACCTCCTCCTCAAGGCCTTTGGATATGTCTTTATTTGGACACATTAGTTTGGCTGTGTGATGGGTGGCTGAATGTTTTCTATGAGATATGCATTGGAGCTGCATCTGTTATGTGGTTTTGGACCTGTTTTCAAGTGTGGTCCTCAAAGGGAGACTTACTTTTGTTGTTGATGTGTGGGCTGATAACAAGTTTTTAGGAGTACAAGCTAACTTGCAATCAATATTTTTTGTTAGCCTTGTCTATATGTAAATTTGTACAGGCTGGTTTTTGTTTGGTTTGATGTAAGGCCTACCTTTTTTGTGTTGTTGGTCTGGTGTCTTAGGCTACCGTGTGATTTGCCCGCTGGATGTCTGAACTGTTTTTGCTGTTGATGTGTTTGTTTGGTTCCTGGGTAGGCCTGCAAATGAACAGAACATGAACGAACACCCTCGTTCGAAACTCGTTCGATAAGTGCAAATGGGTGTTCAAAATCGTGTTCGAACTCGAACAACCAGAATGGTTGTTCAAGTTTGTTCGATTAACCAAACGAGCAGTTTGTGATCGTTCAATTAATCGTTTGATTAATCATTCGATTAAATCGTTCAAATAACTTGTAAATATATGTTCGACTAACTCGTTCGAATAATTTATGGCTGTTCGAGTTCATTCGATTAACCAAATTAGGGCTGTGACTGAATTGGATTTGGATTTTGGGTTGGGTTAGGGAAAATGTGGAATTGGGTTTGGATTTTTGTTTTAAACTTTGGGCTGGCCCGGGTAAGGGAAAATGTGGAATTGGGTTTGGATTTTTGTTTTAAAATTTGCCCTGGGCCGGGTAAGGGAAAATATGGAACTGGGTTTGGATTTTTGTTTTAAAATTTGGGGTGGGGTGGGTTGGGTTGGGTTAGGTTAGTTTGTTGGTTATTGGGTATATGTATATATAACCTATAATTTTGGTAATTTAATAACCTATATATATTATCATTACATAAATTATCATAAATATTTTAAATGTCTACATATATATTTTGTATCAACACCCATAAATTCATAGTAGAATGAAGGTTTACTATAATATATGATCAATACATATGTGTGATTAATTTGTTATATATATATAATTTGTAATTATGTATGTACAAAATTATTATCATACATATATTAATCATAGATTAAATATATTTAATATGTTATTAAATTATCAAAATTATAGGTTATCATATATATATTATCATTATTGTCTACATATATATATTTTGTATCAACATTCATAAATTCATAGTAGTATGAGGGTCTATTATAATATATAATCAATACAAATGTGTGATTAATTTAAGTTTAATTAAACTATTATGTTATTAAATTTGTCATGCTATATATCACTTAATTATACAATATGTTATGTTCATAAATTTGTCATACTATATTTAATTAAGCTATTATATTATTAAATTTGTCATGCTATATATCACTTGATTATACAATATATTATGTTCATCAATTTATTATACTATATTTAATTAAATTATTAAATTATTAAATTTGTCATGACATACATCACTTGATTATACAATATGCCATGTTCATCGATTACCATACTATATTTATTATTTATTAATTGAAAGGCTATCTCATAATATTTAATTATTGATTATATTTGAAAAAATATAAAGTTATATGTTATTAGATTTGCTATGTTATATATCATTTGATTATATAATTTATTATGTTATTAAATTTGTCATGCTATGCTATGTATCATAATAATTTATTATTTTTTAATTAAAATGTTATATATTTATATATTTAATTATTGATGACATTTGAAAAAAAAAAAATCCATATATATATATATATATAAGAAAAATAAATGCATCATAATATTTTATTATTGATTACCATTAAAAAAAATTCATCCAAACTAAACCAAGCATAATATAAAAAAGAAAAAAAAGAAAAAATATAAATATATATAATAATGTATACCATGTTTTTCGAACATAAACGAACGAATAATCGAATATATTGTTCGCGAACAGATAAATTAGTCAAACGCAGTATGTTTGCAAACATAATCGAACGAACATCCTATGTTCGAACTCAAATTGAACATATTATCGAACAAACATCAAACTGTTCGCAAACAGTTTTTTATCGTGTCGAATCGAACAGTTATCAAATGAACATCGAGCTGTTCATGAACGGCTCAGTTCGTTTACAACTCTAATCCTGGGAATGTCGAGGTTGTTTAAACTCTTGTAGAGATTCCCTTGTTGGAGGTCTCATTCTTTCATTCTTTATACTATTTCCATTTACCCAAAAAAAAAATTTACTTAAAAGTTGTACTCATGTAATTTTTACTCGAAGAAATTGTACCAAAACAGACAATTATATACACCTTCCAGAATCCCAAATTATAATATATAATTAGTATCTAATTTCTAAATTTAACCAGAATTCAAAATGCAATTAATGTGTCACATGAAAGGTTCTTTACCATTTGTGTTTGTGGTTCAATCATCAATGGCCAGTACTAGAAGCTATATATGTCGTGAACAATTAATGAGGATTTAGTCAATTAAGATTTTCTTCATTAATTGGCAATCCATCTGCGCTTGTATCTCACTGTTAAATCCTCTTGTAAGTTCAACAAACCGGAGGAGCTCACCGCAATTCTTCTTCTAGTTTTACTTCTCATTACTTTCATTCTTTTCGAAATACTATAAATAATATATCAATCACTTCATTGACCAGAATAAAATATATATTTATTGAAAATATATAATATTATTTGACTCTAGTTGTCCCTCTTCCTCCTCCATGCATGAACTACTTTTTGCGTTATATATTTTATATTGAATTTAAAAATTTAGTAATAAATTATAGAGAATTGGGTTTGTGTTTACTCCTAATTAGTGGGGTGCATGATTGTTATTTAATTAAGAAGATCTTGTGTTGTTTTATATTAATATCGTTTTGTTATATAATCCACAAAGAGAGATTTGGAGAGTTGCAGAAATGGCTGAAGGAGGAACAACATTAGAATACACACCAACTTGGGTGGTGGCTTTAGTTTGTAGTGTAATTGTTGTTATTTCTCTAGCTGTTGAACGTCTTCTGCACTATGTTGGCAAGGCGTGTTGAAGCTTCACCATCTCCCTCTCTTCATTTTTTCATTTGTTTCTGAATTCTGAGAGTAGTCAAAATGATGCAAAATCCACTTTAAATGACACCCTTTTTTTGCCTTATTGTAGGTGTTGAAGAAGAACAACCAGAGACCACTCTTCGAAGCCTTGCAAAAAATCAAAGAAGGTCCACCGTAACCAGAATTTTTTATTATTTTAATTTTATTCTATGAATGTACCACTCGATGAATACTGAGTGTAAAGAGTTGGACTAAAATTTTATCTTTTAACGATTGTTGTCACAACGACTTGTATCTAGTCTGTGATTTTAGAATATGCAGATGTTCGTATTATGCGAACTTTTCTTTTTTTTTTTTTTCTTTTTTTTTTTTTTTTTTAAAGATTGTTTATCTTGATGGTGGTAATGTTTTTGGCTGCAGAATTGATGTTGTTGGGGTTCATATCACTGTTACTGACCGTGTTTCAAAATATGATAGCCAAAATCTGCATATCTGAGGAATTAGCAAGTAAATGGTTGCCTTGCAAGAAAGAAAGAAAGGCAACCATCAATATTACAGCTCATTTTCAATCTGTTTTCTCTTCTTTCCATGGCAACGGCCGCCGCCTTCTCGCCGAGTCCTCAACCTCGGAGAGTTACTGTTCCGGCAAGGTATTAATTAAACTCATTCAACACTCCCCTTGTTTAATCTCGTTCATTAATTTGTCTCATTTTGTTTACTGGTTGTTCATACTAGAATAAAAGTGTTTATAAAGCATTTCACACGTTGGGGTTTTGATTGGAGATATTAATATTATTTCATTAATTTCACATGCATTGAATTTATTTTTTTAAATTCAATGGAGATGTGTATTTGGACCAAACAATTTCTATATTTTGTTTCATAAATAAAGATCAACCCATCTGCATTGTGAAATAGTAGTGTCCACGATCTCTTAATTTTATTATTTATTTACTCGACAAAAACTAATGGCTCTAAATTAGTTTGTCAGGATTTCTCTTTAGTGTCTCCACGATCTCTAATTATCAATGGACAGTCTTGCTAGCCCATACATTCTTAAAAGATTCTGTTTAATTAAGATTAATTGCTTCAGTTTCTTACAGAATATAAGAATATCACCTAAAGCTCCAACACATCCTCTGATCAAGTTCAGGAAACGCAAATCGATTTTATTTTATAACAATTGTAAAAAAGGTTATGACGCTATTATGAATGTAGATTATATTGAGAATCACTTACGTTACCTATCAGTAAAATTTTACTTGGATGATTTATCTTTTGCAACAGAGTAGATTTTGGTTTGAATCGACATATTGCTATTATAATAAATCCTCTAATGTGGATTAATAGTTTATTATTGTCGATAAACATTAAAAGACAAAATTTCTCATCGAAAACTGTAAAAAAAAAAAAAAAAAAAAAAAAAAAGTTCTTGAACATGAATCCAAATTTTAAAAATTTTGGCACATCCACATTTCAGAATTTTTGCTATTACAATAACCTTTTTGTTAATGCTGTTTACATTTAAGGAATTTGAAACATTTGAGTGATGGATTTTAGTGTTTGAATCTTTAAGTAGTACCTCTTGATAGTTCAATTATATTTTGGAATAAGAAGGCTTGACAATCTTCTTTTTTTCCTTTTTTCACATCCAGGGGAAGGTGTCAATATTATCAATCACGGCACTGCATCATCTTCACATTTTTATCTTTGTGCTAGCTGTTGTGCATGTCACTTTTTGTGCTCTAACCATTCTTTTCGGAGGAGCAAAGGTAAACTAATTCTCATAATATTGTTTCTTTTATGTTCATATCTTCTATAGTTTCTTATCTTTTAATCATACTTTTCTTCTTTAATTTCATGGCGTTTATATGCTAAATTATTTTCTTGATGGTCTAGGTTCGTAAATGGAAACGGTGGGAGGATTCTGCTTTTAAAGGCCAACATGATCTGCCAGAGGGTAATGCTTATTCTCCAGTAACATTTACACATTTTCGTTTGTTGGATGAACTAGCTTTACTCTATTAACAGTTCGTCTCTCTTGAGAAATGCAAACGTTTGCACCTGAGAATTCTTCTCCCATAAATTGCATCCTTAGTTCATTTTTTTTTGTCAAATCATATGCATCTGTTAGTTTCTTATTGTGTGCATTGATTTCTTCTTATGCAAATAAAGTATAATTTTTGCAGTTCAAAGAAGAATATATATCCATCTCCAAGATCATGATTTCATCAAGAATCGTTATGAGGGTCTCGGAAATGGCTATGCTTTGCTAGGCTGGTGGGTAAGTCACCACATCTTCGCTCTCTCACCTTGTTTAAGCATTACATTTACTTTGAAAGTGCTTTATAAAGTTTCAGAGTGTCCTCTATATTATTCCCATTTAATTGTTGAATAAACTAGAGGTCACAACACTTCTTTGGAATTCTATGATTAACAAGCGTGATCTCTTTGCTCACTTGTTATATTTTTCAGCATTCATTTTTCAAGCAATTCTATGGATCTGTCACAAAATCAGATTACACCACCTTGCGGCTAGGCTTCATTATGGTAAGTTATTTATGTTTCTATATGTCTTTGCCAATGAACTTTTCACTGTTCTGTCTGGTTTTGAATAGTCTCTTCTTTAGACTCATTGCAGGGGAAATCCAAAGTTCAATTTTCATAACTACTTGATGCGTACCCTTGAAGCCGATTTCAAGAAAGTTGTTGGAATAAGGTTAGTCTTCATTAGCTTAGTTTAAATTGAAACAATTTTTTGGTTAATTTTTATTTGTTCATGGAACATGCTGTCATCAACTCAATATTTAGAGGGTGTTGATGGATCTTACTGATTATCCGATTTCATGAATTGCAGCTGGTATCTTTGGCTATTTGTTGTCTTTTTCTTGTTGCTGAATGTCTATGGTAACTTTACTACCTCAAGTTTTACGCCTTTTCTCTACAGTCAAATCCTATTTGTTCTGTCTCTTAAGTAGTTGCTCGAGCATAATGTAGTTAGATTTGTCTAAAAATTCTGCATATTGCGCAGATAAAATTTCTTGCTAAATCTCTAACTCTTGCAACATTAAACTTACATCTTTAACTCATTTTTGGTTACTTGACAACATAGAGTAACATACATTACATTCCCTTGATGATTTGTCACAATTCTTGCATATTCAACTAAAAATCTTGGCCTTGAAACTTCATAATATCATTACCTTCAAGAACTGATGTAACTCCATTTTTCCTGTGCAGGCTGGCATACATATTTTTGGATAGCATTTATACCTTTTATTGTAAGTTAACCAACCATACAATTCTACTGTACTACAATTCTTCTGTTTGATTCATTACAATTTGTGTGCAACTTTTGACATGCATTTTAGGACTGTATGCACTTGATTATATTCCCATGCCCCAGAATTCAGTTTAATGCATTGACTGTATTTACAGCTTCTACTTGCTGTGGGGACTAAGTTGGAGCACATAATAACCCAATTAGCGCATGAGGTTGCTGAGAAACATGTTGCAGTTGAAGGAGATTTGGTGGTTCAACCTTCTGATGATCACTTCTGGTTCAATCGGCCTCGGATTGTTCTCTTTCTCATTCATGTCATTCTTTTCCAGAACTCTTTTGAACTTGCATTTTTCTTCTGGATTTGGGTAAGAATGCGATACTATTTATACTAAAATTATCAGTCTCTCAATTACAGATAAATGATAACTTTACATGGTCATATGTTTCAGCTTCAATATGGCTTTGACTCTTGCATAATGGGACAAGTTCGTTTTATCATTCCCAGACTTGTTATAGGGTAAAATTATGCATCTTCACCTATCATATTAGTTTCTGAATTGAGTTACAAATTCTTGTATTGCTAAATTATGTCAATTTTCATTCTCAGGGTGTTTATCCAGTTCATTTGCAGTTACAGTACATTGCCACTCTACGTTATTGTCACACAGGTGAGGGATCAAAATATCGAATATACTCTGATCGGTTGGTTGCACATAAGACGGGCATACCGAAGACTTTCTGTCAAAAATATATCTTTATGTTGTGCTTCATATGGATGTTTTTAAACTGACAATGGTTTTGTGTTGTTTGGTTTGAAGATGGGAAGCTCATTCAAGAAGGCAATATTTGATGAACATATTCATGATGGACTGGTTGGGTGGGCTAGGCTGGCCAAAAAGAAAAAGACTACTAGAAATGCTGCCACTGAATCAAGCAAAGTTGGACTACACAAAGAGGATTCCCCTGCTTTAATTCAACTGGGAAAGCTAGGGAAGACTTCTGCAATGGAAGGGAGTAATGCAGGGGCTTATAGTGAGCAAAAATGAACAGCCTCGAAATCTTGTAACTTCGGAAACTAAACCATACACTGTTAATAAAAATTTTCTTTTCTTCTTGGGTTATAGTATCAAAGAATTAGAACACCACAAAATCAACACCTCTGAGTGCTGACCACTTTATCAATGAAACCATAGGAAACAAGGCAAAGTAATGCAATTAGGTTGAGAACAAAGCATATCACTACTCATCACAATTTTATTGCATACATGAACTTTACGTCAACTAACTTACACGTTGCCCTGAAAGAGCTGTGATAAATATGTAATAGATATATCTCTAGACTATAACACATCAAAATTGTAGCAAGCTGCAGTATTTGACTCAGGACGGAAAAGACAATACCAAAATAGAATCTTTATGCACATTAAAAGCCCCAGCTTCACCTAGCTATTTCTATGAAGCACTGCATTGTCTTGCCTGTTGTCGCATTTGGCGGTTCGTAAACTATAGCTTGTGTGAATTAACATTAGTCTTTAGTTGTGTATTACTGCCATTGCCATAAAAATTGGCAGGTTTCTATGCCTTCATATTTTTCACCAGTTGCTTAATTGCTTCTGGATTTTAGAATTGTGAGAGGATTTTCCACCTTTGTCCTTGTATGAATTTCTTGAGGAAAAAGACTTTCGTCCCCCACGGGCTGCTGCTACTGCACGTCTTCTCTGCTTTTCAATCCTCTTTGTGAGTTCAGCATCATGTTCATTCAGGGTATCATTATCTTCCTCCTGCAAAGAATGAAAACATAAGGACCATGCCTAATAACAAAGCCACATATCAATTATCAAGCATCATAGGATTTCTTGCTGAACTGTGAATTTTCTTCGTTTTATTAAATTTTGGCATCAACTATCCTAAAGAGAGTTGCAATTGCAAGGTCACAAGTGAACAAATCCAACATGTGTAAGTTGCACAAACTTCAAACATGTACAAAAGGATAATATCTCAACTCATACCTCGTCACTCTCTTCTTGAGTTTGAGGTCCACTATCTTGGCCTGTTTCGGAGTTTTGTCGAATCTCCACCTTTTCATCTTCCTTATTGCAATTTGAAGTTGACTCATCCTGGATTAAAAACAAGACAAGAACTCTCACTATGCAAGAAAGCATAGAATTATATAATATAATTCAGGTCACACAAAGTGAAAAACAACACCAAGTTGTCCTTACCCTGATTATATTTTAAAATGAAAACCTAGACTTCATAACCAGACCAGCTTACCCTGATTATATTTTAAAATGAAAACCTAGACTTCATAACCAGACCAGCTTTAGATCTTTCCCTTCATATAGATCATCTAGCTCATTTGACTCCTCAGACAGGACCATTTTACAGTCATAGAGCAAGCAGTGATCATCCAGCAAGATACTTTATTTTGACCCAGCAGTAGTCTCTCTCTATTTTCATCATTTCAAACAAAATATATCATGAAAGTTTAATTTATTCATAGTTTATATCATCTGTTACAGTGCATTTTTTTCCCTATTACCTCAGCTAATTCAAAAGTATAATGTATTTGGTCTTAAATATTGTTTCTCATTTTATTTCTTTTAATTGAATCCACTAACCAGGCTGGTGGCATCTTATACATATTAGCAAATTTCTATGGCATAAAAAAGTTTCATTTTTGTTGATTTGCAGAAACATACAATATGATCCACCAATTAAGTGTTCCTGACCTGTTAAGAATCTAAATCTGAACCAACTCGGATACAAAAGAAATGAACAAGTAGGACAGCCAGGTCATTCTATAATCAGGAGTTTGGTTAGGACATCAGACTCATATACCAGAGTAGACTTGTGAGTTAAATCAATTTAAAATCAAAGCAGAAAAAGCTCATAAGAAATATACCTTCTCCACCAAGCGTAAAGAACCAAAACCATTGACATCTGTTTCATTAGACTCAAAGGCATGCTCATTGTCGGTTCCTTCACCATCTGAACCTGTATCCTTTCCATCATCAGTTCCTTCATCATCAGAACCTATATCCTTCTCAGTACCTCCTCCAATGAACTACAAAAAATACCACCATGTTGTCATACTTTGATATTGTTAAGTGAGAAGTACACAGTATATGTTACAAGAAAAGAAAAAGAAAAAAACAGGTCAAACAGAACATACTAAAAAAAGGGCAACACTGGTAAATGGAATAGAGGAACAGTAAAACCAGCAATAGCAATCAAACTATTAAGCATCTGAAAGAAAAACATTATCATCTTGGCATCTCTTCCTTTGCATCCAAAGTAAACATGTAGACCAAAATTACATGTGCAAGGACACACATCTTCTATCCTAATTCAAATGCACATGCATATGTTTGAAATTAAATAAAACATGTTTCACCATACTTTCTCAATGTCATCCTGATCCTTTCTCGTAAACCCACTGGCAGCAAGCTCCTTGTCTAGAGATCCAGAAGCTTTACATATTGAAGAAAAGGTGGGCCTACTACTTTCATCCGTATCTATGTCAGAACCATCAGCATCATCTACAGTTTCTTGGAAAGACATGTTGAACCTGGAAAAAAAAAGGAATATACCATAAAGAGAGAGAGAGAGAAAAAAAAGAAAAAAAAAAAAACATAGTGACAAACTAACCAGCATAACTGGAATTTAACAGTCAACTAGATGTCTAGATTCTTTCAGCCACCTCCTATTCCAATAAACCTACCTTAGCAGGAACTTTCATTCTATAAGAATTCTATTTAGCACCTCCTAAGCCTAGGAACCTACCTTCGCTGTATGCATATCATAAGATGCAACATAGGTTAACAAGGACATAATCCAAGCCAAATATGACCCATCTCCTGTTTCTAAGTATACCTCATACGAAGTCTGAGGACTTGAAGTATGGCAGCGGACAAATCATCCACTATTTTATTTTATTTTATTTATAGGAAACAAGAGACTTATATTTTTATAAAAAAGAGTGTACAAATTAGTAATATAAACCAGTGCTCCATCAAAAGTGATTCACAATTTAGTAAAACAAAACATCTATATAGTCTATATTCCATGAATGAACTATCCAAATCATCCTCTTTAATCATATCCTAAAGCTAATGAAATAGAACAGAAGCTAACAAAAATTCGGAACTTTCAATTTCATATCATCCAGAAAAAACGAAAAAATAAATTGGAGTTCCAAAAAGTAAATCAAAATAACTGACCTCTTTCTGAAAAACTTAAAGATGCATTCAACATCTCGGTCGAAGTACCTGAAAATGTGATGTGAGCTAATTAGGAACATGAATAATGAATATAATATACATAGAGGCTAAAAATTCCAGGTTTTAGAGATATGATCATGATAAACATGAAAATCAGAAATTCTTTATTAAAATTTAATATGTGATTGCAGAAAAAAAATTTCTCCTACATCTGTGCATTCCGGTGAGATACAGACACCATTTGCGGAAAATCAATCATTGTTATCTTCTCATCATCATCAATCTGAAAATCACAGAAATTCAAGCATAAGCTTTGAATTACCAATAAGCTAAAACAGAAAGCAGTCAAGGCTTCTTAAAGTACTACAACTCCAGATGAATGCATCAAAACCTATATGATTAATACAACAAGAAAAAAACAGAGCTGAAAACAGTAACCAATCTATTAAGTGATAAGAATACACTCAAAATTGAAATAGATGGCGATGACCAGGATTTTAACACATACCATAATGTTGAATTCATTAAAGTCACAATGAATGAGACCATGTTCTGCCAAACGAACAACAATACCAAGAATAGTGTTGAAAACTGTTTCTGGATTTTGCAATTCCTTCACTTGTACACTGCAATGAATAAATATAAAAGATAAAAGTTTCCACAAAAACCCACTAACCCCTCTATTAACACAAGTATCAATTAAATAGTCATCTTCCATATGTAAACTAATAACTTTTCCACAAACTTATTATGCCTGTCCATTTTTTAAGAATAACAGCCATCTTACTGTAACAAATTTTTCACTTGCTGATATTCTTACAATAAAAGGTGAGATCAAAGTGATACGTAAAACATATTTATAGAAACAACTAGCTCTTTAAGGTATAAGTAAAAACAAATAAATAAAAGTATAAAAATATAAATTAGATGTATGGAAATCAAGCATTTTTTGCAAAAGGGAACTCTTACAGTGGATAACCTTGAACAAGTGACATTATCACACAATGTCTATTACAGTCCACGGCATTCGGAACAGGGAACCCATGTTCTTCCAAAGCCTGTTCAAACAGTTCAGAAATTTAACCCCAATATGTAACTGAAAGAGGGAAATGACTAAATAAAGTAAATGAAAATGAAAATGTAAAACATATCAGCAAAGGACCTTCATAAAAGCAAATTCCTTGAGTGCAGCAAGGCGGGACAAATAGAGCCAGTTATAACTACTTCGATGCCTCAAGTAATCACGCTTAGATTTGACAGCCCTAAATGAAGTTCTGCCAAGTCTGTGCAACTTCATCGCCAAAACAGTACCGTCTTCACGTGCAACCTCAAAGATATCTTGAACAGAATAAATAATATGAGCTTGCAATCAGACATCATCATCTTTACACAATCAACTTAGATGCAACTACATAAATCTATGTGTGTTACCAGATTCTTTTCCAACCCCAAGTTGACGGCCAACAGCCGTAAACACTCCACGATTGACCAAGGTCTTAATCGCAAGAAAATCATAACCAAGGTAAGTGAGCCGAAACCCATCATCTAGACATATATAACAATATAATTAGATTGCAAATATCTCAGGCAACAAGTATAGCTTAGTTTCTAAAATAAATAAGATCACAACTCACATTTGGAAGAGTCATGGTGCAGAAGCTTATGCCTGAGCAAATTCTTCAAAACCTTATAAGTGCCTCCATGCCTATACCCATATGCAACCATCATCTAATAGTTAGAAAAATAATTATGGTTATCCCTGATTTAGCCTAATTACAAGCAGAGCTCTCAGTTTGAAAAATGAGCAAAAACTGAACAAAGGGCAAAGTTACTATGGATAAAGTAAATACTTGAGAGAAGCTATGCGGTCCACGAGTTCTGCAGGCACAATCTCATGCTGAAACCAATGAAAAAGGCATGTTAGAGAATCTTGTAGTTTATACTCTAAACAGCAAACAAGTTAAACAAAAGTAGAAGAGTTAACTGAGAATGAAAACATACATTCCTCATGCCCATCTCGACGGCAGTGAGAACCCTGAAATCATCCTTCGATAGATAACGTAAAACGTCGACGTCCAACTTCATGGCTGCTCAATACTACAAGCAAATCCTGAATCACGAATTTTTATTTTACAAAATTGGAAATTGAAAAAGACCCCAAAAGAAAAACTGTTGAAGCTTGAATAGGCGGTAGCGGGGAGTCTCACCGGCGCTGTGTGGTGGTGAGCCGGCGGTGATATAATAAGAGTGAAGTGTTCAACTTTAGTTCGATTAGGTGGTTTCAAAATCGATAAGCAAATAAATTCGTATCAAAAATTTTAATTTACGGAAATGAGTTTGAGAAGCTGATTAAAATGCAAATCCTTCACTGCCAAACACAGAGAGAAGATAGAGTTGCTGCTGGCTTCAATTTAGGGTTTATAGGTTTGGGTTTTTCTGTTGGGCTTTAAGCCCCATCCAGTTAAATATTGCACGCCCATTCTCTTCTTTTGAGGGCTTTTGTCCAAATAAGTCTATTTCCAAAGTTTATTCCATATGGCCGAAGACATTACACATTAGTAATACTGATTGGGGATGCAAATGCTGTTTTATGTCTTATCTTCAAGATGAATGCCAAGCTGCCAAAACAGGTTTAAGATCAAATTTGAATAACACTTTTGCATTATAAAGATTTGCAAACAGTATATGTCGGATGGACAGAGGAAATTTTCACACAGGAAAAGTTTTAGAGGTTGGTAATTGATTAATAGCTTGAGTGTTTCATGGGTTTGTTCAACTCCTTGTTTAACATAAAATGTTTCACACGCCCACTAAGAGTGTAGGTTGAATCAATGTTCTGAAAACAGACCGGAGGATGACCCGGCCAAATGGCCGGTTCCGGTTCGATCGGTTGATCGGTCGGTCCGACTGGTGACGTCAGCATGATGTCAAGCTGATATCAGCATATTGAAATAAGCAAAAACGCAAAAATGGCAAAAATTCGATTCTCTACCTAATTAAAGTTAAAAACCATCAAAACCAAGATGAAAAACCGAAAAAGTGATAGACTGGAGAGTGGAGGAGATCGCGAATGTTACTACAAACCAAGATGAAAAAGTCAAAAGTGATAAACTGGAGAGTGGAGAGATTGCGAATTGCAGGTGGCAGTAGCAATCCAAGATGAAAAACTGAAAAGCTGAAGAAGGGGCAAGACCGCAAGAGTGACGACGGCTTGTACTGATTTGTAGCTCAAAACTCAAAAGCAAAATAGCAAATTGAAAAACGAAAATTAAATTTGTTAAAGTCTGACACTTTGACTTTGTGAGTTTGTGTGTGCGGCTCTGAGCAACTGTAGTTTTTAATTTTTAAAATTTTTTTTTCATTTCATGTGTTAAACGGATGGGGGTGTGGACCGAAAATTTGTTAAATACGGTGGACCGTCGGTTTGCTACAGTGAGACGGTCCAACCACAGTCTAAACGGTTTGACCGTAATCCCGGTTATTTGCTCTCTTTAAACCGGAAATGCAAGCGGGTGATGGTTGGACCGCCGGTCTGGTCCGGGTTTCAGAACCTTGGGTTCGATTATGCCTTGAGAAAAAAATATTACAGTTGCTATTTTTAATACTAACTTATATAACTATTCATAATTCATGCAGTAAAATTATTAAAAACTTAGTAATAGAAACTAAAATATTATTAAAATCCGATATAATAACATTACATTTGACCCTACTCGATACTCCAAGGATGAGTTTTTGTTGAATTCTGACTAACGATACTCAATACTTTCATTGATTGATGTATTAACAAGATGCATACTATAATATTCGATACTTATAGACCATGGACGACTTTTTTCAAAGTCCAACCGAGTCATCCCAGGTCCTGAATCCCCTAGCCCCTCAAGCTTAACAAAATCCTGTATACAAGGTCTTGAATAGCAAAGGTCTAGCAACGAAAATGCATCACTTTGGTTGCAAAAATTGCTTGATTTTGAGAAATATAACGTCAAGGTTATAGCATAACAACATTCCTTGATTTTATTTTCACCTTTCTTCTTCAGGGTCTGCATTCAATGGAATCAAACAAAATGTATATTTCTACTGTATAAACTATAATGGCCACATACTTGGAAAAGCAAACAAAAGAGTTATCACATGAGCAAAGCAGTAGTATTCTCATTCTTCTGCGGCACTGGCGGCACTTAGATCCACAGTCAGGTCAAGAACCTGTTCACAAACAAGTCATTTAGTCATCATTTAACACCATGTAAGCAATTGTGGAATCTATTATACCTAAATCCTCCTTTTTTCCCAAAAAGGATAAAAAAACAAAAAAAAAAACTAGAAAAGGTATTTTTCAAGCAACTTTACTACAACAACTAGTAGAAAAGGTTATTTTTCAAGTAACTTTACTATAAAAACTAGTAGAAAAGGTTATCTTTCAAGCAACTTTACAATAACAACAACTAGAAAAGGTTATTTTTCAAGCAACTTTCATCTTTCAGAACACAATGTAAATGGATAGTTAGCACCATAATAGTTAATTTTACCTTCAGTTTCATGGTATACATGTTGAGCACGCCATTACAGTTGACTCAAGTGTGTTGTAGCATCTAACTCTGAAAGATCAAAATGAAATTTTTTTATGGTTCAACCATAGGTAAAAAATAAAGAAACTTGGAAGTTAGGATTATTAGAAGCATTTAAAGGTACTAAAGGTATACTCACTGTTGATATAAAGCAATTGTCCAATGAAGGTTCATTGACTGGCTCATATCTGTCAAGAATCTCAAAAAATATTTCATCACACGGACCTAAAAGATCAGTCCCAGGCTTCAATTCAATCTCAGGTTACCAGTCTCTGCATCCGCTGATACAAATGCAATGAATTTGCCCTTAGAGCAACATTGTGAGAGTAAGAACAGCAGAAAAGGTACCTACTCCACCAAGGAAACATCATAAAATTTTAGCGCATTGAAAGATAAAGAAATACTGCCAAACAAATAATCATGAATACTTTTCTTCTAATGTTAGTATCCACGGGTACCCAAAAAGGGAGATAAAATAACTCACATGTCTGACTTGCGACCCAAGCTTTTGTGGCAGGATAACCTGCACTGAATGAGAATCATTGGTGTTTGGAATAGGGTGGCTCATAATGGCAATTGCTCTGGCAACCCTGCCAACCTTCCTACCTGTTAATGAAAACATTTTCTAAGCACTACTATATATATATATATATATATAAGACTCTGGGTTTTATGAAACTAATCAATCTCATAATTCCCATTTATAAGTCAGTAATACAAAATCAGAATAGATAAATTTGACCACAAATGCCCCTTTTTTCCAAGTTCAAAATACTTCAGGCAGAAATTAGTTGCATATAAATCAAAACAGATAACATAAAAATTACCTTGCTCGGCAGGTAGGAAGGATACAAAAAACTTTCTTGCACTTGGCAGTTTCCCCTTTGAAGTGACACCCACAACTTTGCCTCATCGTCAAACTCAACCTGGCATTAGAGCAAGATGCCAACAATACTCAGCCAATAGTAATAAATAAACAAGAATTCACAGCACTATTAAGTACCTTGCACTCAGTTTATTCAACATATATGTCCCCCATAAACAGCACTAAGCGCGCAAATGCCTGAATAGAAGTAAAGAGACACTAAAACCCAATTAAACTACTTTCACTTAATTTCAATATCAGTTTCGCGAACAACTAAAAATAGAGAGAAGAGAAGCACCTGGGGCAGCTCTCCCAGCCCATACAGAGGATAAATGTATGGTGATCTCCTTGAAAACGTGCAACAGATTCACAATAGCTATCACAAAATCCGGGTGGAAAAACTTGAGGAAAGCATCATAAAGTGACTTTTGTGTATAATAGTTCAAGCAAAGGAAATGATATAAACGTTAAGCACAATGCAGTTTTTACCTTCATCCGTTCACAGTATCTAGAGCAGGTCGTGCAAGTACTATCATCTCTATGAAGTGCTACTGCGTGCCCAATGAAGTCAATAGTGTTGTCATCAAGACCATATTTGCTGTCAAAAAGTCAGCTATATATCAAAACAGTACAACGTATTCCATCAATGACATCTGAAGTACAATTAATAAGACAATTTCTTCTTTTTAATGAGATAATGGGGCATAAAAATGAAAAGGAGATGCAAACCAGGAATAAGCACTAAGTTTATAAACTCCATGAAAGCTTTCAAAACAAATTATTAAAATTCAAATTTTCAACGTACTTTTGTAACACAGTTGTTATCAATTGTATGAAAACAAGATATCATTTCACCTACCACGAGCTTAGAAGAGAAAGAGACAGTTGCACCAAAAAAAAGAGTCTTTAGTAAAAAAAAAAAAAAAGAAAAGGATAAAATTAAGTGAAAAAGCTTACGCAATCAGCTCTTTAGTTGTCATCTTGTCAAGTCCATTCCTCATGTGTTTTGGGATCATTTCATCATAATCTTGGACATATATGAAAAACTTGCGAGCACGGCGCTTTTCAAATACACCCAGAGTGGAGATTTCAGTGCCTCCATATCAGTGCTGGCACCTTATGACTACCATAACCGGTTCACTTACCATCAGTTCAAGTGTGAGCAAATATGTAAAAAATTAAGCAAAAGGCAAACTCAAACACGTGAATAAAATGTTATACCTTTCCTTTGTTATAGACAAAGCTTCCATCCACAGCTTTGAGTATAGTACTTAGTAACATCAGTATGGATGAGGACACGTACAAGAGTTCCATTTGCCATCATGAACTAGCCAAACAAAGAAAAGTCAAAAAATGAAAAAGATTGGTTAGTTAATGGAGTCTTTTACGGTCAGTACAAGGATATAAAAAAGTCACAAGGTAAAAATACCTTGGAATCTGTATTATAATCCCTGCTAGAGCCCAAGTGTGCTGGAGGTGGTTCATTTCCCTGAACCTCTTCCAGAGCTGTAAATATATACGTCAAATCAAAACCATTTGAAGCATAAAAAATTGCAAATAGATTGAAAAGTCTAGGAATGAGAGTTCACAAAGGTGGAACCTGATTGAGATTGAGTGATGTTGATTCTCCTCCATAATAGTCATTCCTATCCATGTGCAGGACCTGATAACAAGACATTGAAAAGAACATCAAAATGACGAACTAAAGACAATGTAAAAAATGCAGCTTTTATGAAGCAAGAAGCAAGAGAGATATAAATTATAAACTACCAACACAATTTACAAGCGCACAACACGTCAGACAAAATCAAATCCAATCGAAGTTACCAAAAATGATAATAAAAACCAATCATTCAAGTGCAACTTAACACCCCTTCTAGCGGTATCCTTTTAGTGCAACTTCATCGCTTGTAACATCTCACTCTCCGCCACGC